CTACTTCACGGTCAGGGCGGCTAGGGTCTGGAACCAGCTTCCAAGTGAGGTGGTGCAGGCTCCCACCCTGGGGGTTTTTAAGAGGAGGTTGGATGACCACCTTACTGGGGTCGTTTGACCCCAGTACTCTTTCCTGCCATGGCAGGGGGTCAGACTAGATGATCTGCTCAGGTCCCTTCCGACCCTAGAAACTATGAAACTTCAAAGCCTCGTATGTTTACACTTAAAACTAAACTGGAGGGACTTGAGGAAAGGCACAACCATGAACAACAGTGACAGGCATTAAAATGTGATGCTGTGTTCGTGCCTTATCTCCCTTTCTATTTTCCTTAGGCAGGTGACAAGCATTACCATCCGAGCTGTGCACGATGCAGCAGATGCAACCAAATGTTCACAGAAGGAGAGGAAATGTACCTGCAAGGTAAGACTACCTTCCCCAGCTCTGCCAATGTAGCTGTTGGAGTAACTCTCAGGAAAGCAGCATGTCATCAGTGACCTTCTGGTAGCCCTCTCGATGTCAACACAGGAAATCAGTCATATGCCAGTCAGGCAGGAGACTGCCATTTTCATGTTTCTCCTCTCCAAGCCACAGTGTCTAAGCCACCCATCCCTTTACCTAGCACCGGTAGGCAGAATTACAGCTGTCTTGTCATCATCACAGACATTACCATCTTGATGGACACTTCAGTGTAGGAAGCCATAACATTGCCCCTGCAATTGCACCAAACTGTAGCTATATCAGATAAAAATTATAGCCAAAGATAAATGTTGATAGCCTCTGAGTTTCAGTGGCTCCCATACAGCTCAGTGCTCAGATTACCAGGTGTGAATACCAGAGTGCACTGGAGTTGGTTTTGAATGGCTGTGCTGTTTACTTTCTCTTTAATTATTTTGATCCTAGTCCCTCCTTTGATTTTTGGAGTCTGATCCACAGTCATCTGGCAGTGGCTTCAATGGACTTGGTTCAAAAAATACTTGGATTTCATTTCCCACATACACACACATTTCTGTAAATTCCTTCTCTTTATTTTTTCCCTTTTTTCTTCTTTGCTTCTCTATCTGCAGTTCCCTTTGTCTGGCCATGTCTCTGTCTTATCTCTGTTTTGTGTGCTTAAGTTGTCTCTTTTTTTAAATCTTCTTTTTTATCTTCTAACTCCCTCTATCACTTCCAAGTTCTGCCAGCCACATTTCTTGATAGTCTTCACAAGCAGCTCATCATCCAAAAGACACCACTCTTCTCTGGTTTAAATAGACCCTTGATCTGTATTTTCCTCCAAGGAGAAATGACTTTACCAGTTAGGTTCCAGTTATTTTCCCATTTTGTCTAATTTAAATGAATATAGGTAGGAAGGCGTCCAACATCCATATCAACTAGAGCTGAAATTGATGGGCAGCTGACCTACTGGGAACCAGCTTGAGACTTCTCTTTTCTAGGGGGCATGTGTAAGAGAGCTTCCTAAATACACAGTAAAGGATCCTTGAGAAGATATGAGCAGGGCGTGGAGTCAGGAAGTGTTGGAATGAGAAGCAAACCAGACAATAAACATTAAAAGAGGGATCGCCAGTGGAGCAATTCTGAGAAAAAACCCACATTGTTAGAGTAATTATTGGGCTCGTTCTCCCTCTGTGCTCTGATTAAAGATGTTTGTGTTCAGAGTAAGGGCTGTCCTTCCTTCCCCAGCTCCTTCCTCCTTATTTAACCCTGTAGAGAACTCCCAACCCTGTATTATCAACCTTTTTCCAACCACATACCTAGGATTGAGCTGTCAAGCTGTGTATTAGCACCTCTGCAGGAATGAAGAGAAGGCAGAAGGAGGGTTCAGTGGTACATTTGACAACAAAGTGGGGTACCAGGGTAGGATTAGACTTTTTTGGCCCCAGGGTAGGATTAGACTTTTCTGACACCATGGTATGAAAAGGGTGTCTAATGAATGGTAAATGGATTTCTTCTACCAACTGTCAGTGGTGATGAGGCTGGGAGTAAGGGGTAATGCACCAGATGGGCAATGAATGGGAGTGAATGCTGATGGGGAATTCTGCCCCCATCCCAGCGCAGCCCTTCCCATAAACACATGCAGATCCCAGGAAGCCAATGGGAACTGCATCCAGGTACACCCAGGATAGATTTGGCAATGGAGATGGGGCAGGAGAGGTGGGTAACTGGCTCTCATACCTCACCTCCATTTTATTTCTGTCCTGCTTCACTCACTGGTTCTCTACCGTGTTCCCTAGTCTACAACAACATGCCACGTAGTCTCAACGGCAAGTCAGTGCAGACTATACATTACTGCCTATAGCTGTAGTGACAAGCACATTCTTGTCACTAAACTGTGCACCTCATACTTTTTAGCCAGACTTTTTCTTGCTTGTTTTTCGCTGATGTACCTTTACCATGAAAAAGCCACTGCACCAGCTCATACGCATATCCTGGAACCAGCGGTTTAAGTTCTCCATAGGAAACCCCTTTTCTTTCTATTTACTGGAGTGGTAAAAGCATCACAAGCCTTTTGCTGAGGTAAAAATATAAATTATGGCCAATAACACATCAGTAAAGCAAATAAAGCAGGTAGGGTCCTTCTTTTTTCTAATTACCATGCCTATTGGGCAGCAAAGCGTCACACATGTATGCTTCTCACATGCAACATGGATGAAATTGGAGCTGCACTGAAGTGATGGGAGCCAAGATTTCATCCAGTGTGTTCATCAAGAGCCACTTTAATATTTTACTTTATGCAAATGAGGGTCTGTCTATTTAAGAGGGAACAGTCAGGCCTGTTGAGAGCCCAACCGCAGGGCTTTTGGATATGGAGGGAGTGTCGCACTGGGAGCTTAAAACCCCGGGGGAGATTGAAGAAAGGAAGAGTTTGCAAGCAGGAGGCAAACTGTGAGCAGAACAGACTTGGTGCCAGGGAGGGGCCAGGCTCCTGTGCTGGGAGTCTGGCATCTGCGTAATGCCCAGAACAGGACAGAAGGGTTTAGTTTTATTTGTGTATTTGTTCATTGATTTACTGCTCAAAGACTGAGAAGCCAGCAGGCAGGTAACGCACGGACAGGCTCCTGTCAAAAGAGCAGTACATCTAAAGCCCCTGTAAGCCAGCGGGGCTTCCCAGCCACAGAGCAGCTTTTGGCAGAAGGGATGTGGCTTTCTGTCTTCCTGATGAAACAACAAGGAGCAGCACCCAAAAGTGTTTGCTTCCTGTGGATCGCCTTGTAGCATACTATCTTACAGGCTGAGCAGGGGGAGGGTTGCCAAGGTAGGTCACAGCTTAGCATTTTAAGCCTGCTCTGGCTGTTTTTTCTGCTGCCTTTTGTGTTTTCCAGGGTTATTTATTTCACTGGAGTTTGTGCAGTTCGGAATGAGCTGTGTGTTACGGTAACAAAGAATACAAAGTTGAACAGCTGAGCATTTTGTTTGGTGCTTGCCTAATGAATGAACAAGCATGTTAATAGGGGGATTAACTGCCCCGAACTGTTCCATTTCCAGTAGAATAGAGGGCTGCAGCTAGAAGAGTTTTATACAGCTCTGGGGTGTTTTAAAATAAATGAGCATGCTTTGGCTGGACAAAATCTAGAAACTGCAGTTGGCTCAAAATAGGGGACTGTGCAAAACATTTATATCTAAGCTCTAGCCTGCTTGATGGGTGCTTAGGGACAGGAGGGCAGCATATTATTTCAAACCTCACAATCAGGTTAGTAAATTTAAGGTTGCTAGCTCAGCTGTACCTTGAAAATTACAGCCAGCCCCTGCCCCACTGCTATGCACCCTCAGAAAGCCCAGGCACACCCCTCAACTTGTGGGCTCCTGGCAGGTGTCCCTATGCTTATTGTTACCCTGAGAGGCCCCTTCCTTCCAGGACAGTGGTAGATGTTGCACGTGCACATGAGAGACATCAGAGTTTATAATCTAAATCTTTAAAACAGGTACCGGGTATGAGAAGGTTGGTTTTACAAGCCGCACAGAGGGGTAGTAAGTGAATTTAAGCTCACTGTGTCAGAACCTGAACACAGATCCTGAGCCCCATCTCAATATGTCCAAGAGCCTCGTTCCCTATGTCTGACCTGTGCAAATCCCCCAATCCCCTACAGGCTGCACTGCCGCTGGAGCTGGTGCCTGTTTGCACAGAAAACCTTGGATCACTCCTCCGTTCTCTGAGTTCTTCCCTTGTTGTATGAGCAGCAGCTTCTTCTCAGACTCAAAGCCAAATATCTAATTCAGTGCCTTAGTGCTCCCTCCCATGTCCTGACAGCACTGTTTACATCATGCGAAGCTGATAGTAGGAGTCACTCCCAATAGCTTGTACTTAAGCCTTGAGCCAAAGAAGAGCTCTTCAGAATGGTCCTCAGAGCTTCCCTCCCTCACCCTTCCCTTCTGACGTGGCCTTTTTGGAGGGGGAGGTATCTGGCCAGCCCTGGAGAAAACATCCTTCGTTCTTGTTTTGCTGAGAGGTGGGCTCAGGGAGTTTTTTGGCCTGGCAAACAAAAACGGCACTGGCCCTAGAGTGGTTGAAAAACATTTGGCTTTGACCACAATCTAGTTTAAAAATCCCTTGTAGCTGAGTTTTACCCCTAGAGATAGAGCAATTCTAGGCTGGATAATAACTGCTAGCAGCTCCTTGATAGTGAATACTATCAGGGCATTCCCACCTTGCAAGGGTCACTATTCAGAGGCAAAACTTGGCCCTTTCTCTGCAGATTTGGAAGTCTCGGAAAAAGCAGGACAGATCTGGTAGCTGCAGTGTTGGAGAGGAGCCCACATTTCAGCATGGGATGGGGGAGGACTCTTAGCCCCATTACAGGGGATCAGGCAGGTGAACTTCCCTTGATTATTCATAGGCACCAACTGGCCAGACAGGAAATTAAATCCAACACATGTAAATCCAGCACGTTGGATTTGCGCAGGTAGCATGATTCTCCATAGCTGAGGGAAGGATCCTTCCTTACTGCAGCCTCCCATGTCAAGCTGGCCATGCAGGCTCAGCGCAGCCTATGGAGTTTTATTTCATTTATTTTTAACGAGTCATTTTGTTTGCAGCCTGCACCGTCAGGGGGTAGATAGCACCAGACATGTCCTGAACATGGCTCCTGCCATCCCTGGGGTGTCCTGGTCCTTTACAGGTGGCTGTGAATTTAGCCACTCAGTATTGCTGGTGGATAGCTACATTGGTCTTACCCCCCTTTTGCAAATGAGAGAACAGGTTAAGGGACTTTATAGAGGAGTGAAAGGTCTGGCACAAAATCTCACTGGAAGTGTCTGCCAGGGCAGGTCTCCTGCTCTCACCTCTGTGTCCCAACCACCAACCCATCTTCCTTCCTGACCTGCAATCCCATGTCTCTTTGAGCTCCAGCATCATATTCTCATTGACTTCTTTGCTACATAGGATCATTGTAAGTGCAGTGCGCCTTGAACACCTCAAACGTAGGCCACAGTAGGATGCTTTTTGTTATATTTCTTGGGCTTTGGAGTGGGATGTGGGCAACTTGCAGCGTATGGGCTCTTCCTAAGAACTGGAACGTTCAGCAATCTTTGCCCTGAACTTGGCTGATTTGCACTGAGTAATAAATTATCTTTTTCCAGGTTCCACTGTCTGGCATCCTGACTGTAAGCAATCCACGAAGGCAGAAGATAAGCTCCGGGTAAGACAAGTGAATGTGAAAGGATATGTTAAGCTGCGGGGACGCTCCAGATCATTTGCACACAGAGTAACTGAGCATTCCTCATGAGAGGCAGTGATTTCCCAGGGTTTTTATTGCCTGCCCATGACAATCCTGGCAGAAACACAGTGGCGTTACTTCAGTAGTGCTGGGCTTCTCAGCCTGACCACCTGAATGTATCTGTTTCAGTTCACTGCTCCAAAGATCGGTGTCACTACACTGAGGGCATTGTCTCCAGTACAAAATGCAGCTTACAGGATGGTTCCTAAGAGAAAAACCTCTGGGGAGAAATGTGACCAGTGCAAATGCTGCCATGGCTCTATTTTTCCACATAGCCCTGACATCTGTGTAACTTGCATGTCACTTCTAATATGTTCTTTGTAGCCGTTAGGGTATTATCCAGCCCAACCCATTCTTCCTTTGTCATCTCAGTGAACCCTTTAAAGCTAATTTGTCCTAATTTGGGGGGATTTGCTTACCCTGGTCACAACCCAGAACACTTAGGAACAAATGTTAGGTTTGAAATTACCTTAACCTTGGCAGGGGAAAACCTTTTTTATCAAACCCTGAATGACTTAAATAGAGTAACAGTGATTTGTTCCTGGTCTTTTGTAGGGAAGCAGGCATTTGTGAGCCCAGATTGGCTAGCTCTCCCTGCAGAAAACTGTTTGTGTTTGCCTGTGCCTGCTGGGATGCAGAAATGAGGGGTTTGTTCACACCTTCAAGCTTGGTGAATTTTTCTGGCCTTGTGTCAGGCTGCAGATGAAAAAATTGGCTTGAGGATGTATTTGCAGAGAGAGCCAAGAGATACTTTGGTTACATGTACCCTGCATATCATGCTGTGTTCCTTGTGTTCAGGGCATAGTAATTCAAACCGTTTGAAACTTGCTCCTGGCACCCTACTTGTTTAATATGCTCCATGAAATATTGACTGTGAATGTAGCTAACCTGTTGTTTCATTTATAGTGAACATCATCAACATCAAAGTTAACATAAGCAGGCGTAACAGTCCAGCAACAGAACTAGCCCTGAATGAAAAATGGGCAAAACTTTGTTGTACAAGCTGCAGCAAAACCCAGCACTTGCAAATTATTCTGGCTCGATGTTGTGTCACTGACAACTTACAAAAGGGAGACTTTTCATCTGATACTTGCAGGCAAAATTAACAGCCTGAACATTCAGATCTGTCTGGCCTTATGAAGTTTGTAGCTTTGGGAGCTGATTCTTCTCTGATTTCATAGTTTAAGGGCTAGTACTAGTATGTTATACTGGCAATGTGCTTCTAGTCTGAATGCAAAGCATACCTGCAAAGCTCTGCTTTGTAACAATACAGTAAAGCCCCCTTGTCACCAACAAAATATATCAGACTGGTAATAGCACAGTGTGGCCAGTGTAGTCACATCAATGCGAGGGGCTTTTGCTAGTCCAGCTTAATCAGATGCCACGCATTGGGCCCTTCCAGTAACAGATGGGTGGCACAGTGAACTGGCTGGCGTGATCATCCTAGATGCCATCCACTTGGCTACAAACATGTCTCAAAATTACTTCACAGGAACCAAGGGCATTATTATTAAATGATACAGCTGGGCAAAAACATTGAAGGAAGCTGTCATTTCTGTAAAATTCTCCACCATTTTGTTGCTATTTTTCTATTCCCTTTGAAGTTCTGGGCTGATTGAATTTGGAACATCTTGGAAGTCGAGAGGCATCTCGGATCATCTCTCAGGCCTAGGACAGTTTGGGTTCAGGTTCCTGTCCAGTGACTTTCACTCTGCTGAATTATCTCACTTGGACAAATTTGCTGCCACTGACCAGCTGATTGTCCGACACAGCAATGTTAGTCCAAGAGAGCAGTGCTTACTGATACAAGGACAGGATAGTCCCCCTGGTACCAGACAAGTTGAGTGTATGGGGAGGAGTGTGTATGTATGTGGAATAACGGCCACAAGTTGACTGAGAGTAGGTTCAGGCTGGATATTAGGAGGCACTACTTCATTGTCAGGGCAGCTAGGATCTGGAACCAACTTCCAAGCGAAGTGGTACTCGCTCCTAGCCTGAGGGTCTTCAAAAGGAGGCTAGATAATCGCCTAGCCGGGGTCGTTTGACCCCAGCATCCTTTCCTGCCCATGGCAGGGGGTCGGACTCAGTGATCTGCTCAGGTCCCTTCCGACCCAGACATCTATGAAACTATGTATTCCTGCCTAGTCAGCTGGAACTAGACTTTGGATGCACACCCGCATGCATAGAACATCCTAAAGCAATCAGGTTATTCCCTGGCTAATGAGCGCGGGGCTGACCTGCTTGTAGGTCAGCTGCCAGCTAACTGTGCAATGCTGCATCAGACTTTTCTGCTGGGTTAATTTTTATTGCACATTTAGCCGTTCGGGTATAAAACAGTGTGTTCTGGCATTTCCAACACATAATGCCTGTGTTGATTGGTGTATGGCTGGTATACAATATGCCCTTTGACTTTTAGCCATGACTACAGCCGTGACTACATCCCTGCCATTGCAAATATCCTCCAAGCTGACCTTTCAAATCCTCAGGGTTATTTAAAATCCCTATGGAAACTACAAATGTTCCCTCCAAATATCTTTTCCCTTTCTCTTGTGCATCGAAGCATGCAAGTGCTTTTCGCTTAGTTAATCTGAAGTTAAAGTTAGTAAAATGAATGAAGTCACCCACACCTGGAAGAGCTTTTTCCAGGGGCTTACTCAGGAGAGCTGTAGGCAGATCAGCTGAAGGTGTGAGGTCAATGTGCATAAATTAAAGCATATTCATTCATAGGATTAAGCTACAGTGACCAAAGGCCATTTTACTCTTGAATGGGTGCATTCAAACTAGGATTGAATGCTGTTGAAGTCATGTGCAGTATCTCCAAACCTTGATTTGCTATAGCTTTCCATACTGTGCCCATGTAGACGCAGTGTAAATTAAAATGCTGCCTGTGAGGTGGTAGACAAGTGTTTGCAGCCTCACAAGGTTGGACCCGTATTTGATGAGGTGTCTGCAGAAACCTGGTCAGGTAGACTCTTGAAGCTGCTGGGTTTCCTTCCAGTTAGAACCAAGCAAAACAAAACACTATTGTTGAAGCAGCTTCAGAAGTCCTCAGCAAGCTCTGTTTTCTCTCAATAACTGAACTGGAGTAGAAGCTAATCAGCGTCCTCGCTGGCTAAGATATGAGGTGGAGCTCATAAAAACAAGGGTTGCTTAAGATCTTTTCCCGCTGGATTTTTAGTGGAGGGTTATGAAGCCAAAACAAGCAGGAAATAAAACAATTCTGCATAAGCACTGAGAATTTTTTTTTTATGGTCATCTGCCAGTTGGTGATTCTGCAGCTGACAGTGTGCGACATTGCTCTTATGCCATATAGTTGTCTCTTCAGCTTATACAAAGTCAGCGTGAGTACCGTTGTGTTGCATAGGACCTTGAGCTCTTGATTATATGCCTTGTTCTTTATCTAGGACAAACATTGCTTTTTCACTCTTTTTTCTTCCTTTTCTATTCCATGGCAGCATTCCTCATCTGAATTCTTTTACCCTAAGAGTCTGGTTCTGCGGAGACCACGCTCTGCCGAGGTTGGCTGTTGTGTTTTCACGGAGTTGTTAATAGCTTTCTTTCTTGAGAAGATCTCTCTTCTGCATTATGGTGTGCTGCCACACTGCTACTACTCCTTTCACGCAGCTTTCCTGGCTTCTCACTCCAGCACAAACTCTGTCTTTTGCATCATGCAATGCATCCTTGGCTAATCTCTACATGTAGCTAATATTTTTATTTAATGTAATAATTGGTTTTATTTATTTTTAAGCACATGATAGGGTTTTTTTTGCTCTCTCTCACTGTCATGTTGTTGTTCTGGGCATTATAGAAAGCTGTTGGTGTGGAATAGACAGCTAGAGTGAGGAGATGAATATGGTGATGATAATAGACTTTGCAGAGCTGATTGAATAAAACAGTGAAACCTCCTCATGAAAAAATGTGATTGAAATGTCCAACTTCAAATAAACTTGAACCATCTCCAACCTCATACCATAATGGAGATTATGAATTTCTTCATCGATTTCCTATTTTTGGATGGGCTTTGAATATGGGCTGTTTCATATGCTCCTCAAGAGCCTTTACCTCAGCACAGACCTCTGCCATATCCAAGCTGGAGGTGTGAGGCCCTCTCTTAACCCTTCATTTAGCACTGAATTTCTCTTTCAGACGTGAGCCTTTTCCAGAAAAATGGAGGCATATCTACTCTGCTACTGCAGTGCCTGCCTCTAGGCAGCATCTTCAGCCCAGCTGGAAGGCAGGACTGAGCTAGCTTCAGTCTAACTAGCCTGGGAACAGCATAGTGAGCAATATGGGCATGGATTGGCCACCTGGATGAGGGCCGAGCATCTCTCAAAGCCTGGGCAGATTTAAAGCCAGCTCAAGTATGCCTACACCTGTTGCAGTCACAGATCCCAGTTGTCACAAGACTATAACTATATTGTCAGTAGGTGCAGAGTGTTTGCAGTCCATAGCACAGTCTTCTTGATCTGAATGCAACATCCATTAAAGCGAATGAACAGAGTTCTGGTATGAGAGGTTCTGGTTAAGGATCTATAGAGCCATTGCATTGGTCTGTTAAACCAAGGTCAAAGGCTCCCTCTCCTTTGTGTACAGTAGCTGATGAAATTTCATATCACAAGACTATTAAAACCCAGCTTAATCCAGGAGCCCTAGCATAATCAATAAATCCTATTCAGTGCATTAGAAAAATGGGAGAGGAAAAATCTGACTGCTCAGACACCAGATAAAGAAATAGTCTCCTCCTTATAGGGCAGAATTTGTGGCATGATGTAGCTATATTAGGGTCGCACAATCCCCTTTGACCTGTGCATTCATCTATCTAATCAGAGTCAAATTCTACCTAGATTTGCATATTATTGGTGTGGAGTGTAACTCAGGGCAAAATTTGGGTCATTGTATTACTGTCTGGGTGCTGGATACAAAACTAGTATCATTGCTGCTGTAGGTCCGAGACTTCACTTCTCCACTTCTTCCTCAGTAAAGACCAAGTTTCCATCAAGCATCCTACAAGAAAGAAGGGAAGGGATAAGGATAAAAATAAAAGAAGGGAAGGGATAAAAAGCTTGCCCTTCATTTTTCTCCAACTTTAAGTGTTGAGAATACATTTTGTCTATTTTTGGTCATGCCACTTACCATTGTGGAAAGCAACACAGCATTGACCCCAAAAGCTTAGAGCATAGCGTTGGTCTAGCTTTGGAAAAGTACCCAATCCTTATACAGACTGCAAGTCTATAAAATGGGGCTGCAGTTCTCTTGGGAAGAGAGATACTTGTGAGACCTCGTACTGCCTGTTGCCGGAGATGACTCTTTTGGTACTTTAGGGGTTACAGTTGCAGTACCAGCAGAGACCGTGACATAGAGGAAGGCAGAAAGGGAAAATGAATGGATGATTGTAACATTGCAGTAGCTTGAGAGACTCTGGCATATGTTTAATGGTAGCAGTGAACAAGGGCTTTAGGTTACAGGAAAGGTGCAATTCTTAATAATGTAAGTGGCTTTTGCACCTGACACACCAATTCCTTTAGTCCATTTTGTAAATCCAGTCTGTGCTTTTCTGCAAACTAGTCTTTCAGTCTTATTAATTCCTGGCTGATTAAACCAAAAATGGTTCAACACACCAGGACAGATCAGCCTCTTGATGGAAATCAGAACATTAGAAAGATGAATGCTCAAGATTAAACCACTGGTATACATTTTTTGGATTTGGAGGCTAGAGGCAAAGCAGTCTATGGGTCATTCAAATCACATCACCCATGAGAAATATGTAATATTCACTTAGCCAGAAGGAGACGTGGATAAATGTTATAACCAGCCAACATGTCTCTGGATGAAACTGCAGGCTGACATTAATGACTGCTCTGGTGTATGGAACATCAAAAAGACCTGCCAACCAATGAGCGGCATTCTCGTCTGTAACAGGTTTATTGCTAACAGCAGTGATATGTCACTTCTCTGACAGGTCCAAGAACCAGCAATCCTGATCCTGCAGTCTCTATTCACAGGAGTAGCCTGGTGAAGCCAAAAGAGCACTTTGTGTGCATCAACTGTACAGGATTGTGATGAGCCAGAAAAGACACGATATTGTTTCTATTCCCAAACAGAGCTCATTTCAGTCGCTCTATAAATCGGATTCTGCAGTGTCCTCATCCTAATGCAGCAATGGGCATCCAAGCAAGCACTAAAATGGGGGCTCACAGTGGATGCATTATATTCGAATGCCTTTTGCTGTTTTAACTATTGCCTTGAGACCTTAACTGAAAGGTGTCGACAGTTTATAAAAATTTGCAAAGGCACCTAGCAAGTTACAATAGTAAACTAGCTGATTAGGACGGGGGGTTATCCTGAGTTACACGTATACTGTAGCCCTTAAAATCCGCCATGCCAGCTGTCAAGAGAAGTGTGCACATTAACATCTGTAGACAGTAGGGCCAGTAAAATTCAAGAGGAGTAGGTGAAAACTTGCCCTTTGGTGAAGCCAGTGGGAGTTTAGCTGTTAACTTCACTGGTGCCAGGATTTCACCCTTTCTTTTTTTAGTGCTTACTTACCCCTGCCACCAGTGGAAAGGCTACATTTGCAGGAGGAGTTTGGTGCTGTGACTAACATCTGGCTAAAAGGAGTTCTGCAAACTGACACGTCTCTCTTTTCCTTGTGTTTGGGATGGAGAGAAACACTGCTTCTGTTTATGAGCTTGTGTGTATGTGTGATTTGTTTTTTAAACCACCCCTGCTCAAAATCTGGTCTTAAATGGTTGCTGACTCGCTAGGATAAAAGCTGGAGTAAGAGTCTACAATATGCATTGCAGATTCTTAGAAGAGAGAATCAGAGGCTCCATATGAATGCACTTAAAAGGAGAAACTTAACGTTGTCATGAATTGTCATAATAATGGACATGCATAATGAATTCTGAAGGATTTTGTTTCTTGATGGGTCACATCTGCACCACCACTTAGACTGAATGAGATACACTCAGGGCTTGACCCCAGAGCCCAATGAAATTAATGGGAGTCTTGATTTCAGTGGGGTTTGGATCTAGGCCCTAAGTAACTCATCTCCTTTGAAGAAACCTAGAATTAGAGGAGATGATCAAAGTAATGAGTTGTATGAGGGGCACCAGAGGGCATTTGTAATGCAAAATCCTGTCTGGCAAGTAGAAAAAGCTAATTGAGGTTGGTATGTAAATATACACAGTCTAGAATCAGGCTCCTGCCCTAAGGAGCTTTTGCCTTCATTGTGTTAGAAATGTTGTTCAGTAACTATTGTAGAATGAAAACTTATTCCTTCTTCTGCAGCTGTTGTCACCGCCTTGCATAATGAACTCGATCAAAAAACTAAGGCAGGTACTGTAAATACTGGCAGTGTCCTGTAGAATAGTAGTGCATCCCTTTGGTCCAGATGTTCATGGGATCACTTCTGATCTGGTTTGCCTGCCCCCATATCTTCCTATAGAGCATGACTGAACATCTGTAATATAGAGAACCTCTGCCATCACATTGCCTCATCTGGACGATGTGGATGGCCCTGTCTGTCTCTTTTTTTTCTCCTTTAAATACATAATCTGTTTTAATGATGTGTAATGCATGATGAGATGACCTTGGTATTCAGGTAAATCAAATGGATCAGCCTAAGCTTTGTAAACTAATATTAAAAAAGAAGCTGATCAAGTTGGGGTGTATGTATGAGTGATATAATTGGTATGGATGGGGAGACCCCAACAGGATCATCATCAAAATAGTACAATAGTTGAAGTTACTCCTGCTAGTCTACAAATGAAGGGAATGATGTCCTTATGCTTTGGAAACAAAGGCATGAAAAGAGGAACTAGAAATAAAAGATTTCTGAAGAAATGAAAAACTTTAATGATATGAATACCTGCTTTGTGATTTGATTCCATCTTTTAGATCACTTGATGATATGCATGGATTTCTCTTTGTTCATATATGTTGTTAGTGTTCCAGTATTCAGTACAGGTACTCCGAATTTTGGGTCACAGTGGTGCTAAGGGAGAAGAAGAGACACAGGGGAGGAGACAGATCTTCCCCTCTTAGAAAAGTAGGGTAAAGACTATAACAATAGCAGATAAAGGAGCTTAATAGAAGCACCTACAGTATTGCTGCTTTAGACTGCTTCAAATGCAGCCAACTTGTATTGGAGATCCCAGTCCAGTTCTGCAGGGACAAACAAGAGGAAGTACATAATGCACCACAATTGGGTGGAAAATTTTCACGAGCAAGAAAAGTAGCCTAAAAGTCCCAGGCAGACATTACACTTAAGGTACAATTAACTTTATTAATTGAACCTTAAATAGTAACCTAGCCACATATTTATGCAATTGATGGCACGACAAAATGGGAAACCAGCTACAAAATTATTCCACAAAATATGTGTAATATTTTTGTATCTGGTTTCAATCACACCTT